GCCCCCCCCCCGCCCCCCGCGGGCAATACTAAGTATGTTGTAATCCCGTTTTTTTTTTTCTTTTAAATCTGTATATGCACCAGACCCTGTTTAGTATTCGGAGTGTCTAAGTCTCATCATGTGCATTAAATACACACAGGACAGAAGTACCAAATCTTATTCCCTAATAATTCAGGGGCCCTAGAAAGCGCAGGACTGAAGCTTTATATGAAAATTCCTTTGGAGAGGTTTATGACTTCCTTCCCCAACTGATCATCTGATTTGTCTGCCCAACCAATCAGCTGATCTGTCGTCTCCCAACCAATCAACTGATCTGTTTGCCTAACCAATCAGCTGATCTGTCTTCCCCCAGCCAGTCAGCTGTCCGTTGTTACAGGCTCTAAGAGCTGAATAGGTACAGGCTAGGGTAGCCAAAGTCTACCCATTACATGGACCTTACCTCCTGGTAGAGACTTGGGTGGAAGAATTAAGAAATCAGGAAGGCCTTCAGGAGAAGGGGTTGGACTAGGAAAGGTGCTGAGGCACATGGTAAATAGACAAGTCAGGCAACCTAGCTTTCCAAGGCACCCTAAATGAACAAACCAATTTAATCTCTTTCATTCCCTTGCTCCCCGCTACCCACCCCCCAAACAAACAGATCTAGATCAATTCTGGGCTTCTTGCTGGTGACCAGAATTCCTTTAACAAGAACGCAAAGCTTTTCTTCCTTTCTATAATGAGACAGAAAGGATTTAAAATGCAAATGCCTTGGCAGGACCTTCAGTCTCTACCAAAGATCTAAATGAGTTTACTTTGAAATGGGTAAAGGAGAGGTTGTCCTGGGGGAGGGCTGTCTGTCACCTGCGTGCAGGGGGACCGCTTCCCAGTTTCAAGTGGAAACAGCTGTCTCCCCTCAGCTGGATGCACGCTATGCCTTGAGATGTTTTTGTGGGCAGCTGAGCAGGAACTCAGCTCCGAGCAGCCCCCAGCGAGCAGATGTGGGGCCAAGGGGCGGATGCGGGCTGTGGGGAGGCCCGGACTCGGGGACGTGGGGTTCTAGGCTTGGGGGACAAGAGCCAGGCAGAGCAGCGACTGGAGATGGAAATGGAGTGAGGGTCCTTGGACTCAGAGCAGGGAGGACTCCTGGCACCCTAGTCGTTCACTGCTGAGGGTCTTCCCCTGGACCTTGCCCCTGGGACCATGTGAGGGCTCAGGTATGCTGGGGACCGAAGCAAATGCCTGGAGGGGGACACTCAGGCCAGGCTGTTCATGCCAGGAACGCCTCCTCTTCCAGGGAAAGCAGAACCGAAATAGGAAACCATTAGCTCTTTCTTGTGTCAGAGAGTCATTTTCAAACAGTTTAAAAAAACCCTAGCACTCATACAAATGTATAGCGAGCCCGTGTCAAAACGCATTCAGTTCGTTACTGAGGGGACCAGCAAGGTGGGAGGGCTGGTTTAAAGGAGGGTATGAGAAACTGAAATAAATTTCTCATCTAAGCCACAAAAAGATGGCAGAATTAGATACAAAATTAGTTAACATCGTATGGGGGAATAAAACATCGTACAGGGGGAAAAAAATCCTTTGAAGTTATCCTTTATAGTGAGCAAAAATTACTCATCTCACATCCACAAGTGAATCTCTAACTTCACAGAACCTGAGCCCTCATGAATAGCAAGTAGTAAATTAAACCAAATTAGCTCCTTTTACATAGCCCTTAAGTGGGCTAGTTAGGAAGTGCTTTGGTGTGATTTTTGTAAAGGCACGTGGTAATACTTTGGCCTTGTTGCTGAGTAGCTCCATCCCCAGTAACCCCAGCTGAGAGAGGCAATAGGAGGAAGGGAGAGGGGCGGGAACGGAGGCTCCGCGACGAGCTTTTGGGGAGAGGCTGAGGCTGAATCACTTGGTGGTTACCAGTACTTTGTACTGTTTCAAATCCTGGGGCTGTGGGGCCTTTGGCAAGACATTTAACATCACAGGAACCTCAGTTTCCTCATCTGTAAAAATGGGAGTATATGAATGTTTCCCTCTCAGCAGTTTGTGAGGATGAATGCTGGCCTATATTGATTTCCCATTGCTGGGGACAGTAGGGTTTGGGGTGGTATTCGCTTAATAGATGGATTTTGGCAAGGTCACAGGGAGAAGATGACAAGGGACCTTGGGAGCTGGGCCCTCCACCCATGGAGCCTTGGGGAGTCAGTTGCCGTGGAGATGAGGAAAACAGTTTATCCCACTTTGATGTGGCTGGGTGGCAGAGGAAGTGGGCAGGTTATCAAGTCTGAGGGCCTCCCCCTTCTTCCTGACTCCACCCCAAGTAGGGTCGCCTACTGCCTCCATCTGGGGGTGGCAGGAAACCTCATGTCAGTGCTTCCGGGTCCTGCCCACCACACCCCTCTTGGGTTCAGCCCATATGTTTGTTGAATATTTACTCTATGCCCACACAGCTGTGCAGACCGTAATACTTGTCTGCAGAGAATTGGTCTGTCATCCTGAGGGGAGACAGTGAGCATCATATGTGTGAGTCACTTTGCAGTTTTCAAAGCACCCAAAGCTCCATGATTGTATCT